TTGCGTGCCTGAGTGCACGTATTTCGAGGCATGTCATTCCATAGCATTGTGTATGTTAGGATTGTATTTTAGTTGCATTTCATGCATGTCATGCATATTGCATCGTGTTCGGAATAGGAGTTAGCCCGGACACGGGAAACGAGGTGCGTTTCGTACTCCGAGTGACGGAATGTGTCTCAATTCCCTAGTCACCGACACTCCGGATTACCCATGATGGAGTTAGGTTTTAGCTGTGTTTTAATGTGCATTCATTCTATATTGAGTTGCACATTTCGACCCCTCTGCCATCATGCATAGGTATGCTTGATTGGTGGCACGAGGATCGAGGCATGCATATATCTGTGAAAATACATTGCTATGCCCCTTTCCTGCTCTCTGTTGCAGCAAAATGAAGAATCAGGAACTTTTCGGAGCTTGGCACGCTTTCCAAGAATAACTGCTAAACAGAGGCTAATTGGGGCATCCCGGTGGATTTCCGCGCAAGACAACCCGGACATGCATCATTCATCAGAAGCAAGGCAGTCCCTGGCTTGCACACCAGTTTTATTTGCTTTCATAGTTAATTCATTAATTAATTAGAATTTTGTAATATTTTGGACTGTAATATTCTTTTATTTGGGGACTGTAATATTTGGACTGTATTATTATTCGGACCCTCCGAGCGAAGCGGATCCTCCGAGCGAGGGCAATGTTGTAATAAGTGTGCGTGCGTGTGATGTATTTGAGGTGGCAAATTCAAACCATTTTTGCAAACAAACATGAGTTGAATTGTTTTAAATTGAGCAAAGTAGTCTATATTTTCTTGTGCACATCACATAGTAATGCTAGTTTAATAACCGGAATAAGAGTACATAATGTTTATAAAAAATCATATCATGATTAGTAGAGGCCAATCTTTGATCGGCCGAGCGGAGGTGCTCAATTCATGACCTTCCCCTCTCGTACCTAAGTTTCCGAGCCGAGGAAACTTTGGTGATGACGGACACGTGGCCTTTGGCACGAGTCATGGGTTTCTTAAATTTTCCCAAAATAAAATATTTAGGTGGCGACTTTGTATCTAGCAAAGCAGTCCATTTTTGGCGTTTTTGATACTAAAATCAATTTTTTAAACGATTTGTCGGATTTGGACTCTTTGGTGTTTATCAATTTCACATTGCACTTGTGAGATTAGATTCAAAACCGCGGGAGTCTGAACTGTAGGCCTTTTCTTTTTGAACCTTCCGAAAGGGGGCGCGAAAAAGCCGAGCTACAAAGGGGTTGACATTGACTCTTGAATCGTTTTCATCACTAATGAGTATGAATCGACTCAAGACTCAATAGGTTCAATCGACGTTCGATTGAACCCAAACCATTTTATTATCTTACTCCATTTTAGTCCAAGTTTTATTGCCTCTTTTAATTACTTTCCATTCACTAGTCAATTAAGTCCAATAATGAGCTTTAAGTCCACTATTAGAGAGAAGTGTCAAACCAAATGTTGTTTTATGCATGAAAGGGAGATCATGTTGTTGGTAATGAACCCCCAAAGGGATTAAACTATTAAGCACAACATCACCCTTCAAGCTTAAACAACACTCTTTTTGGAGCAACTCTCAAAACAAAGAGAAAAGGCCAAGAAAGGGGGGAGATTGCAGAGATGCTTAGAGGTGAACACAAGTATGGAAAGCAAGAAATAAATTCTATCAACTCAAATAGGTTGGTGGCCAAGGCCTAAACCACCAAATCTATGAGGACCATTACACTACAAGCATGCAATACAAAGCATAAATGAAACTAACACATAAAAATAGTCCTAAATTAGCCCAAAATAGTGATGGAATTAAAGTAAAAACAGCTAAAAGAGTAAGCTAAAAACATGTAGAAATTAAGCTAATAAACAAGTACAAGGAGGGGAGGTTACCCCCTCTATTTTTGGGACTTCAAAGTATGATTTTTAGTCTCTGGAAAAATATAAAAACCAGTGGCAAAAAGTTCAAAAAAAAGTTGATAAAAAGGTGGAAAACACAAGGGTAAAAGCCTATGAAATAAGGTTTAAAGATGGGTGATTCACCCCTCTACCTTTAATGGCTTTAAACCATAAGTTTCAGCCCAGAAATACAGGTGATAAATAACTCAAAAACAGCAAGAAAAGATGAGAAAAAGATGTACAAAAGAACTAGAATGTATACCTTTTGAAGAGGAATGATCCCTTGAATTCCCAAACCACTAATTTCACATTCTCAAGCGCTAAAATGCAAGCTTAAGCACCACAGCAAAGATCCCTCAAGGTTTGGTTTAGAGTGTCTAGGCAAAAGGTATAGAAGTTATAAGAGAGAGAGAGAAATGTAGAAAGAGAAATATTTTTCAAAAATTTTGCTCTCCAAAATTTTCTAACCCTAAAAAAATAAGAGAGAGTGTATTTTCACATATGTATGCATGACTACTCTTCAGGGAGTGTAGTTCTCGATCCTCGTGCCACCAATCACGCATCTCGATGCATGATGGCCGAGGAGTCGAATTACACGACTCAATGTGAAATGAATGACAAGACCTAAACTTCATCATTGGTAATCCAAAGTGTCGGCGACTGGGAATTGAGACACGTTCCGTCACTCGGAGTACGAAACGTCCCTCGTTTCCTGTGCTTGGGCTAACTCCCATCCCAAACACGATGCAAATGAGATGGCATACACAATGCGACTAACATACAACCTAGCATACGCAATGCAATGAAATGGCATACACAATGCATAATGGACTTACACCAACATGAGTGGACCTCAGCCACACTCACATCAGAGGCCATTAGATGAAAATGAGATACTCGAAATGTGTGCACACGTGCACGCAAACCGAGAACCGATCCTAAGGCACAAATACCACTCTAACAAGACATGGCAAGGCATGGAATATGGCATACAAACATGCAAGTTTCAGCACTGAAATTTGATGCAAAATGATCCCGAAACATGGAAACATGGCACCCGATGCATGGAATGGCCCCGAAACCCGAAACTAGGCACGTGGAATGACTTATAGTTATACAAAGCATGCATTATTTGATCATGAAGCATGAAGAAAGATTCAAGGCAGTCCCAAAACATGCATATTTCCAGTTTATAACAAGTCCCAAAAACAAACACAAGTAGGGCTAATCTATCATGCAAAAAAGGCCCCAAAAGAGGGATAAAGAAGCAAGTGGCAGATGCCAGCCCCAAACAATGAAGAGCCCTTCAACAAAGTTGAAGAGGGGCTCAAAGTAGTACACTTTACAGTTTATGACCAAGTCCAAAACAGTGCACAAGTAAGCTTAAAACACTATGCAAAAATAGGCCTAAAAGAAGGTTTAAACACAAAGAGCAAAAAGGGAGCCTCAAACAGCAAAGGACCCTTCATCAAACATGAAGAGGGGGTCAAAATATGACTCTTTACAATTTGGGTCGGAGCCCAAAAATACAAGCACAATGAGCTAAAAAAAACATGCAAACAAAGGGGCCAAAAGAGGGATAAAGAGGCAAGTGATAGAAGGAAGTCTCAAACAGTGAAGAGCCCTTTAACAAAGTTGAAAAGGGGCTCAAAATAAGGCAACTCACAGTTTATAGAAAAGCTCGAAACAGTTTACAAATAGGCCTAAAATACTATGCAAGAAAGAGGCCTAAAAGAGGCTTTTAACACAAAGTGTAAAAAAGAAGCCTCAAACAGGGAGAAGCCCTTAATCAAACATGAAATAGAGCTTAAAATAAGACTATTTTCAGTTAGGGTCGGAGCCCAAATATGCGAGCACAAGGAGCTAGAATATAGATCAAAATAAAGCAAGAAAAGAGGAAAAGAAGACTTACCCTTGAAGAACCAATCTTTGGCAGCCTTTGGACCAAGTTTGGGGACTCTTAAGCTCTGGAAATGGCCTTCAAGCTGCTGGAATGGAGTGAGGAGGAGGGGTGCTATGGGTTGTAGAGTAAAGGGTGTAGGAATGGTCCAAGAACAAAAGGGTTTTGATGTTTGGAATAGAAGGGAAGAGGGATTGAATGCAAGAGGCTTAGAACCAATTTTTGTAACCCTTAAAACTAAAGGGGAGGGGCTGGTTTTATAGGCAAAGGAGTGGAGAAAAGGGGGGAAATTTCAAATTCAAGTTTCCCCCCCAAAAGGCCAAACCCTCGGACATGGGTGAAATGCAAAACAAAATACATGGCTGGAATGCACTTGGCACAAGGATCATGGCCGGCCAGCTCAAAAGGGCAAAAAAGACCATTCACCAAATAGGTGGCCAGCCTGCTAGATTTTCTGGCCGGCCTGCTACTTTTCAGAACAAAAAATGGTTCTACCGGAAAGAAAGGTGGCCGTCCGGTGATTGGGAAGTCCAATGGTGGCCATTCAAGTGTCCAAATTGAAGCCCCAGAAGTTATCTTTCCAATGGTGCAAACCTTGCATTAACATTCCTCCTGTGGAAAAAGTTATGCTAGTTTCCGTGAAGCTGCGCAGATTCGGTCCTACCCGGATCCATGCCGAACTTCTACCAACCTTGTTTTCTTCTCTCCTCTCCTCTTTTCTTCAACTCCAAACCCCTAAACAAGGTGTTTTGAAATATTTTTCAAAAGAGTTCATCTCTCCTTCATTCATTTCCACTTTGTCATCGCTCGGTTTACCGAAAAGCGTGACATTTAACAAAATGCGAGCGTCGGGACATCGTAGAAACTTTATTTCAAAAATGTTTTTGAAAGAGAGGGTTTCAAGGTCTAAAATCTTTTGATCAAGATTGTTTTGGTCCAAAAAAGGGTATGAATTTGAGATTTGACTCTCTCTCCTTGCCGAAGAAATTGAACCTTTGCCCTGCGCATCTTTCAAAACCATCAGTCGCGTCCAAGTCTTAAAGGCGGTCAAAAATGGGGTGTCTACAGTATTTGACTGAAGCAATGACGTAGCAACTAAGACAACAACCTTTGCCTCCTCTATCTCCGCCTCTACCAGTGCTAGTTGAACCAGACAATAATGACATCATCAATTTGACTCAGAAATTTATGAAAATGAAACCGCCGACCTTCTTGGGTGGCATTGAACCATTGAAGACAGAAACCTGGTTATTAGAAATGGAAGAGTTATTTGAAGTGTTCTCTTGTTCTGCAACTCAAAAAGTACTTTTGGCTACTTATACCCTAAAGGATGAAGCCCGAAGATGGTAGCTATTGGTTCAAAATAACAATGGGGACATGACATGGACATAATTCAATGAGATACTCTACAACAAGTACGTTCCCCAATGCTTCAGGGACCGAAAAGTTTCTGAATTCCAAGAACTTAAGCAAGGGAAAATGTCCGTAGCTGAGTACGAGTCTAAGTTCACCGAGTTGGCCAAATTTGCTCCTCACATGGTGGACATAGATTATAAGAAAGCACGAAAGTTCGAGAGAGGGCTAGACTTGGAAATATTTGATCGAGTAGGCGTCTTGAAATTGCCTACTTATGTGGAAGTGCTTAATAGCGCATTGATGGCAGAAGCCATTTTGGTAGCAAAGAAACAAGCTCTTGCCCTAACAACTAAATGGAAGGGAAAAAGATCTGGAATCACTTTCAAAAAAGGTCATTCATTTGCTTTAAATAAGAAACAAAATACGGGATCTTCTAGCAGCTCAAGTCAAAGCAGTGGGTCTCAGTGTGGGAGGAGACATAGAGGAGTTTGCCATTGGGTATCTGGTGTTTGTTTCCAGTGTGGCAAGACGGGACACATGATAAGAGATTGTCCAATTAGGTTAGAGAATGGCAACCATCCTGTAGTAAATTCAGCAGTATCTGCTTCTAGATCAAGAACAAATGTTAGAACTAATATGGGAAGAGAAGCCTTGAGATAGGGTAGAGTTTTTGCACTTGTGCTTAGTGACGTACAGAATACTAAATCAGTGGTGTCAGGTATAATTTCTCTCTGTGCTTAGAATGCCTATGTATTGATAGATTCTAGTTCCACGCATTCCTTTGTGTCACATGCTATTTCTCGGAAATTAACTAGACCATTAGAATTCATGAATTATTTATTGTCTATATCAACGCCATCTGAGGGTTCTATGGCATGTGCATATGTGTACCCGGCATGTGATGTTGTGATTGGTGATGTGATATTGTATGTTGATTTATTACCTCTAGGAATTGACCATTTTGACTGCATATTGGGTATGGACTGGTTAACGAAGTATTGTGCAAATATTGACTATGTGAATAAGTCCGTTATATTTCATCCACCAAGGTTACTTGAGTTTGTGTTCATCAGGAATGGGGTGGTCTCTCCCCCATACTTGATTTCTGCCATGAAAGCTGCTAAATTGCTTAAGAAGGGATGTAGAGGGTATATATGTTGTGTTTTGACTGTGACTTCTGATAATCCCAATGTAGAGAACATTTCTGTAGTAAATGAATTTCCTGATGTATTTCCAACTGACTTGTCGGGAGATGTAATTGACAGGGAAATTGAGTTTACTATTGATGTTGTACCCGAAACACAACCGATTTTCAAAACCCCATATAGAATGTCAACTTCTAAACTGAGAGAGTTGAAAGTTCAGCTCCAAGAACTCTTAGACAAGAAATTTATCCGTCTGAGCACGTCACTTTGGGGTGCTCCAGTGTTGTTTGTCAAAAAGAAATACGGGCCCTTGAGGCTGTGTATTGACTACCGTGAGTTGAACAAGGTAATTGTGAAGAACAAATGTCCATTGCCCCGAATTGATGATCTATTTGACCAACTTCACGGAGCACAAGTATTCTGCAAGATAGATCTTAGATCCGGGTATCACCAATTAAAAGTTAATGCAGAAGATGTAGAGAAAACTGCATTCAGAACGAGATACGGACACTATGAATTTTTGGTAATGCCGTTTAGGGTGACTAATGCATTGTGTTACAAACTCTGAGAAAAAAGAAGCTATATGCCAAATTTTTCAAATGTGAATTTTGGCTTGACAGTGTGACATTTCTAGGACATGTAATCAACAAGGATGGTATCCCTGTTGACCCATAGAAAATCAAAGCCATTGTAGATTGGCCAAGACCAACCAACGTGTCTGAAGTTAAAAGTTTTATAGGGCTTGTAGGTTATTATCGCAGATTTGTGAACGATTTTTCAAAACTTGCTATGCCATTGACCTAGTTAACCCAGAAAAATGTATCATTTGATTGGAACGATCAAATAGAGTCTGCCTTCCAAGAGTTAAAGACCAGATTAGTAACTGCACCGATTTTGACTCTGCCTAATGGTATTGATGGGTTTCAGATTTACAGTGATGCATCCTATAAGGGTTTGGGTTGTGTATTAATGCAAAATGGTAAGGTGATTGCCTATGCTTCTTGGCAACTCCGACCACATGAAAAAAAATTACCCGACTCATGATTTTGAACTGGCAGCTGTGGTGTTTGCTTTGAAAATTTGGTGCCATTATCAATACGGAGTAACTTGCGAAGTGTATACTGACCATAAAAGCTTAAAATACTTCTTTACTCAAAAAGAACTGAACATGAGACAGAGAAAGTTGCTAGAATTGACCAAAGACTATGATTTACAAATTTTGTATCATCCAAGGAAGGCAAATACCGTTGCAGATGCGTTGAGCCGAAAATCTATTGGGAATTTATCATATTTGCTCACCAGTCAGAATGAATTGCTATGTGACTTAGAAAAAAATGAGATTGAAGTGGTTTTGCGTGAACAGGGTGAAATTCTAGCTGCTATATCTGCCCAACCTGTGATTATTGAAGAGATAAGAGACAAGCAACTGCAAGATTCATTCCTAAAAAAGATTGTGGATGAAATCGACTCAAAGCCAAGGCCCTAGTTTGTACTTAAGAATAATGTGTTGAAATTTCACGGTCACCTTTGTGTGCCAGACTGTTTTAACTTGAGGAAACGCCTTATGACTGAAGCCCACAACTCCAAATTTGCCATACATCTGGGGAATACAAAGATGTATCATGACATGAAACAGAATTTCTGGTGGCCTGAAATGAAGAAGTGTATTGCAAACTTTGTGTCTAGATGTTTACATTGACAACAAGTTAAAACTGAATATCAACGACCTGCTAAATTACTACAACTATTTCCAATATTGGAATGGAAGTAGGAACATATTACTATGGACTTCATTGTGGGATTACCTCGCTCTCCTCGAGGTATGGATTCTATCTAGGTAATTGCTGATTATTTAACTAAATCCGTACATTTCTTGCCTATTAAATCATTTATAATGCAGATAAGTTGGCTAACTTGTATATTAATGAGATTGTGAGATTACATGGTGTGCCAGTATCTATCGTATCTGATAGAGATCCTAAGTTCACTTCAAGATTCTGGCAGAGTCTATAGCAAGCTCTGGGAATTGAATTGAGGCTAAGCAGTGCTTATCACCCACAAACAAATGGCTAATTTGAACGGACCATTCAAATGTTAGAAGACTTGTTACGGATGTGTGCTATAAACTTTCAAGGCAGTTGGGAAACCTACTTACTGTTGGTCGAATTTGTGTATAATAACAACTACCATTCAAGTATCGGTATGGCTCCTTACGAAGCTTTGTATGGTAAGAAATACCAATCTCTGATCTGTTGGGTTGAGGTAGGTGATAGACCGTTGTTGAGACCAGAACTTGTGCAAGAAACAACTAAGAAAGTGAAACTAATTCAACAACACCTAAGAACTGCTCAGAGCCGTCAAAAGAGTTATGTGGATGTCCGGAGAAGAGATAGGGAATATGAAATTGATGATCATTTGTTCATAAAAGTAACTCCAATGAAAGGTCAGACGCGATTTAAGGTGAAAGACAAGTTGGCACCAAGATATGTTGGGCCATATGAAATGCTCGAGAAGATCAATTTAGTAACATACCGAGTAGCCTTACCTCCGATGATGGAGCATATACACAACATTTTTCATGTTTCAATGCTGCGAGATTACTTACGAGACCCACTCCATGTGATAGAACCGACTTATGTGCTTCTGAAAGATGATTATACGTATGAAGAGAGGCCAATACAGATCGTTAACTACAGAATCAAAAGATCGAGGAACAAGGAAATTCCCTCAGTGAAAGTTGACTAGAAAAATCACAGAGGGACCTATGCAACTTGGGAGACAGAGGAGGATATGATGAAGAGATACCCAGATTTGTTCCCTCTGGACCCGGTGTTTTTCCAAAATGAAGATAATTTGAGTTTGGAGGACCAAACTCTTTAAGAGGGGAAGACTGTAACAATCCCGACCTCTGATTTACGTTAATTTGTGGTTAAATAAGCTTAATCAATAATTAAGAGAAATTCCGAATTAAATTGCATGTGTGTGTTGTCTTATTTCTGTTTATATCTGTTTAACGTAGAAATATCTGTTTTCGATTCTATTTCAGTTTGCGAATTGAAGGCATTATCGGCATCCGATTCAAAAATTGACTTGGTATACGTGTTATTTAAAATTTTTAAAATTTATGGTAGGTTTAATTGAATTTGATTCGGAACGAATAAAGTAGAATAAAACAATCTCACTTAGTTATCTTAGACTCAAACTAATTAAGCTTTATTAGTTGAGCCTATGTAAGGCCTAGACACATCTTTTCTTCATCATTTTTGAGACAAAAACGTGAGGGAGAAGAGAGAGAGTGAAAAAAAGTTTAAACTCAAGGGAAGAAAGCTAGCATTTGGAAGGAACTTTGGAAATTTGACCACCTAGCTCAAAGAATTAAGTATCTTAGACCTAATTGAAAACCTAAGGTAAGAAATCAAACCTTTAGTTTTGTAGTTGAGTTGGTTCGTACATGAATTCAAGAGAATTAAGCTAAGAGATGCAAGAATTAAGCTTAAGAAGTAGAAATGAAGATTAATTCATACGTGTATGTGCATTTCATTGCATTTGGAGCATGTTTTCTAAGAAATTCTCTCATGTATGTGATAAATTGAGCTTAGTTGTAGGAAATCATCATGTGTTACATCCTCTTATCTCATTTGATTATGTTTTGAAAGTTTTGAACCCAAGTCAATACATGCATGGTGTGTATACTCATAATTCAAGTTTGAATTTAAAGAATCCACTTGCTTTTGGGCTTTGATTTTGAGTAATGATTCTTAATTCATGATGTTTTGCAAGTTTACAAGAGTTTCCTTAAGTTTTTGGCCCAAGAAAACATAATTTACAGCTTTGGGGTTGAGTTTAAAGCTTGGAAGCAATTCTGAAAATTCCATAATTCTGCTTCCACACTCGAGTGACAAATCCTGCGCTTGAGCGACCAACTTTATTTTTGCACTTTCGCTCGAGCGACCAAAAGTTCGCTCGAGCGTAAAATTCATGCTCCCAGAAGTTTACGTGTTTTACAAACTGCTCGAGCTACAAAAGTTACGCTCGAGCGAGGACATGAGTCTCACGTTCGAGTGAGCGTCGAGCGAGCATTGAGCTGAAAAAACAAGCAACCAGCACTTTTGCAAAGTTTACAGACCGCTCGAGCGAAGGAAGGTGCGCTCGAGCGACCACTCGCATTTTGCATGTCTGCTCGAGCGAAGAAAGCTGCATTCGAGCGAGACCTCTGTTTTTAGCAATTTTTGTTAAGTGTTTTCAAGTGCATTTTAGCATCCTCATTGCATCCTAGGCATTCCTAGGCCAAGATTAAGACACCATAATGAGGATAAGAAGTAGAAACACACCGAGATAAGAAAGAATTAAGTTAATGTTTCCTAGTGTGTAATTCAGTACGTGTTCGTTTTGTAACTATGTAGGTCACGCGCCGCAAGACGTCTGATTTGCCCATTCTGTCTGTTTGCCTTGAAGCCATCTGTTAATTGTGAGTAATAACTCTGTAGAACTATGTTTGATTATAAGTATTTTCTAACTAAAATGATATGATCTGTGTTCTAAAATGCTATTTTATGAATCATGAATGAATGTTTATTTTCTGAAATGTATTTGTGGCATTCTTAGTTCACGTGACTCTTGCCTGGGGGTAACAATACCGTGGCCAATATGCATGTGGCCCTCGCCTGGAGGTAATAATATCGTGGCTTATATTCACGTGGCCCTTACCCGGCGGTAACAATACCGAGGCTTATATTCATGTGGCCCTTGCCTGGAGGTAACAATACCATGGCTACTTGCGCGCAAGATATGAACCCTTATGGTTGTTGGTACCGACTATGAAAAATATGATATTTCATGATATCTAAATGGATGTACCATAAATACTTGCTGATGATTCTGGAAAGAATGTAAATCCGTTTCTAAAAAGAATCAGTTTCTGATATAAACTCTAATTTCTAACTCTATGATGAACATGATTCATTAAAACCCTTTACCTTGTTATTATTCACTGGGCTTCCGTTCACTATTTATATTATATATGTAGGTGAGTAGGTGCGTGACCAGGCCTAAGCTGTTGCTTGGAGTCTTGGATTAGCCAGCCATTGTGCCTCCCGAGAAGGTTCCCTTTTTGAGATGTCTCGTTTTGTAACCTTGCTGCAGATATTTTTGTTTGTTTTGCTTATCTGTACTTTGGGGCTAAGTCCCCATTTGGCTATACTTGTGTAAATGAATGATGTATGACTTATGTGTTTGTGACATCACAAGTATATACGTAAGTTTGTTTTGAACTCATATACGTCAACACATCTCTATGGACTATGTCTATTTTATCTATTTGCTTCCGCAGCCCCTAATTATATGATGTTCTATTAAGAGGCCTTTGGTAATCCAAAGATTACTGGTCAGTTATGATACTAAACTTATAGGGGCGGTTTGGGTTGTAACAGGATCTTTGCAAGGGATTACTGAAGTGGGCAATCATTCTCCAAGCCGTTCTTAAAAGATACGACGGCAAGTTCCCAGTTACAAGCCAGTATTTAGTTGTAGACCTCGTAAGCCCTAAGGCTTGCGCCATCATCAATCTTTAAAGCCAACAGGGAATCAACCCTCAATCGCTGTAATCTGTTTGCAACAAACTTAGCCACAAACATCTCAACCAAGCTTTCCCAATTCTTAATACATCCCTTTGGCAGTTTGAGGAGCCAGTCCGACGTTTTTTTCCCAAATGTCGAAGGGAACACCTTGCATAACAACTGCTTGTTTCCACTCCACAAAGACATTACATTCAAATATAAACCAACATGAAAGTTCAGGTTTGACTTACCATTATAGATCTGGAACCTTGGTATGCTAAATCTCTTTGGTGCCTTGAACACATCTAACTCCTTCAAGAATGGTGTTCTCAGTTACCTCTTCCTCTAAAGGTAATCCCTCAAATCTTCATCCGTCCATCTAGGAGCTCAACTATTAATCAATTTCAGTCGCTTTGGCGCACTGCTTCTTGTGTTAGGATGCGTCCTCTTGGACTTCTCCATGTCTATTACGTCATTAAAGCAGAGGCCTTACCTATTGATCTACCGAGATCCTCTGATCAGGGTTCCCTTGGTCCTCGCGATTCTTTGGGACTCTTCTCGTCGTGATTCTGTCCTCCCGACGTTATGTGATCGCTGGTGCAAGTTCCCAAGTCTTTTCTCATGCTGTGGAACGGTTGGCACTGTAGTCTATCCTTCTTTTTAGGCACCCGCATTTACTACTGGAGTCAGAGTTTCCGATAAGGGCAACACCGGTTGCATCCCCTTACTCTGCATTATGAAGTTCACCACGGTTTGTAGGTCCGTCAATTTGTTCACCAAGTCCTTCACCTCGTCGTCTCTTCTTAGGTACCTTTCTTTTCATACTTGGAAATCGTTTTCGTTGTAGTATTCTTCTCGGTTGCCCCTCCTTGGACCATTACGTCCCCTGGCGACATTGTTTGCTTTAGGATTCACTTCCTATACCACATCTTCATTGTTTCCTCCTCCAACGTTTGGACCTACGTACTCTTCTTCTTCACTGTGTCTGTCGTCCCCGACTCTCATCTCTTGTCTGGTGTTGGCCATCTATTATTTACTAAGTTCCCACAGACGGCATCAAATTGTGAGTATTGATTTCTGACCTCACAGCCAAACAGAGAACTTAGTTGGAGAGCACGTGGCAAAATAGATTAAACCAAGCACATGCACACACAAAAATAAAAATACCACGATGGGTCGTCTACCCAGAGACACTCTGACGATCAAGTCAGTCAACAATCTCACAAGATCTCAACTCAAATAATAAGTGTACAAATAAAAGCATACCTTAGACCCACAGGCGTGCCTCACTTTTATAACTAGTAATGCCCTCGTCCCCTAAAAGTCTCACTTCATAAGACTCAAGCACAATGCTTATCTCGGACTCTTAGTTAGATATGGATGAACTCCTCAAGAGCCTCACCCCTATCCGAACTAAGCGCCTCACTTATCTAGGACTCTTGTCCTCTATCCAAATATCTCGGATTCTAGTATTACCGCACCATATCTCAATAATACCACAACCACCTCGACAATTTGGCTCGTCCACGTGGCACCTCGGCAATTACTTCAGCTACGTGGCAAGACCTTAAAATTTTATCCCCATAAGACCCATTTTAAAAATGAAAACTTGGATGTCAAAAATATGAACTTGTTTTTTATCTTCCACTGCCCAAAAATGAAAGAGAAAAAGATATTAGGGTTCAAGAACATTCAATTTGTTTGGTTTGATTTTCAGAACAAGTTTTAGGGGGGGGGAAATTAAAATTTTAAAAATAATTTGATAAAAAAATATGAAAAATAAAAAGCACATATCATTTTTATATTGTTTTATCTTTTGGGAAGGGATAAATAATTTTTAAGAGTTTAAAAATATCATTTTGATATTTACTTTCATCAAACTAGTTTTTGTTTTTTCAAAAAATTTCTAAAAATAGTTTCAGAAAATTAAATCAAACATAGTTTTATTTTTTATTTTATTTTTTTGGTGGTATTACATGCACCAATTAGTATATTAATTAGTGTACTAACATATCTATTGCATTGTTATTTTAAAACTATGACCCCACCTATTATACCAATTATAAAGACTAAAATTATGCCACATCATCTATTAATATATTAATTAATATACTAATTGTTACATATAGATTTATTCTATTTTTTTAAGTAGTTGTTACCATAGTTGTTATTGATTATAGTTAGTCAATT